CCTTCTATGTTGACCTCTTCAGCACCGAGACTCCCTTTCTGTCCCCACAGGGGCTTTGCCTCCCCTGCTCAGCATTTTATCATAAGGAGATTTGGGAGATATATACCTGACAAGGCTGTCCTTGTCCTTTCATAGCAGTGAGTGGACAAACCTCCCTCCTAAAGACAATGGGATCCTCCATCTAGAGCCAAATCTGTTCTAATTAGCTGGCTCTCAGCTTTGCAGTGGGCAAGTCTTCTGGAAGTTAATAACGGTATTTTGAGAATACCTGTCTCTAGCCTGCTTAATGGACATGACGATGTGAACATAAAATATTTTTCATTCCACAAAGAAAGTCTTTATTCTCATCCCGTTTCATGTCTCAATCCTGGCTTTGCTTTGTTTTTAGTTAAATTATGTTCAAATCACACTTCCATTAGTGTTAATTTGGTGGCTTTTGCAATGTTCTTTAATTCCTCAGCTAGCAAGTGGCTTCTTCCCTGCTTAGCACTGATGGAGGCATTTTGTTTAGCTCAGGAATCTCTTTTGATTATTGCCTTGAATGACAGAGGACTATTTCATGCCCGGTGCTTAAATTTCCACTTGATATTCGAGAGAGAATATCCTTTGCAGATACTTCTCCAGGATCAGTTGAAGGGAAATTAGGCTTCTGCCTGTGTTACCTGAGTGCTGTTTGATTCTTGACCCTTATAAAGGACATCTTGACCTTACTTACTGGTAAGACATGGAAAAGGTATTATATTACTGCTAAGGATTGAGAAGCCCTGAAAAATTGATTGCTAGATATTGAAGCCTACAAAATCATTTTGAGCAGGTTTCTGAGGGATCCCATGTGTGATTTAGTTGTTCTGACAAACACAAGATTGCTGTAAAGTAACTGTAATCCTTCCACACTTGCTGGTGAGTGGCCCCTGAATAGCTCCCCACTCAGCTCTTCTCACTATACCCTATGTCACTAGCTGTCTCTGCTCTTCCTCCCAATACCACCACCATCTCACCAGAACTGACCATCAAGGAATGGACGCCTGGTCTAGCAGGGTCCCAGTGGACTCCGTTTTAATGCTTGTGCTGACTTGACTTCACTGAAGTTGGAAGATGGCTGTCCACCTATACTGGTTGTTAAACATCCCCCGTGAGGATTCAGTCATCTAATTATCTTGCTCTTGAAGAATGTGCAAGATGTTTATAAAAATACACTCAACTCTTAGAAAAGTAGGTCCTATAATTTGGGTGGGCTTTAAGATGGCAAGAGAATTAGATCATTTTCTTGTCCTTTCAATGGAGGCAATCTTCTTTTGTTGTTGTGTGTTTTGTTTTAATTTTCATCTTCTTGCTTTTTTTTGGAGGTGAAAAAATTAGGAAATGCAATTCTTGACTCATAAGTCATGCTTGACTTTTAATGTCTTTTAATACATAGAATCTGATTTGTCTCCATACCATGTTTCTAACTTGTTTTAAGATCCCAGTTCCATTAGGTACACAGAAAATGAAATGATGGGGGGGGGGCGGGGGGGGGGGAGAGAGAGAGAGATAGAGAGAGAGAGAGGTGAGAACATTTCTCTTGCTTCCTCTTAGAGATGACTTTAGGGCCCCCTAGTGGCTGTTTTTTAAGACCTCGGGTTTCTTAGGATTAGGTCTCCTTGACCCTAAGAAAAAGAGACCTTTCAGAATCTCTTCTGGGACTGGTAGAATAACTGTGCAGACAGAAATAAATAATGATTGATTTAAAGGATGCAATATTTTTTAATTTCTCAATTCTTAGCAAAACCTTTAGAAACAACAGAGACATCACCTTACATCTTTTATTCTGCATTCCTCATACTATATTATGCCATAGCCAAACTTCTTTTAAGACATTTATACCTTGGTTTGTGTGAAAGGGCAGTAATTTCTAGGCAATCACATCCAACCTTAGTTGCTTGGACTGGGGAGTTTAGAAGCTTCACAATTTTCCAAAGGAATTTTTAATAGGGTTTGGGTGGGGCTTGACAGATATGAACTTACCAAAGGATTCCGATTGTGGAATATTTCACTCCGACAGAATTCTTACTATTTAGAGCATTAGTTATGCCACTGACTTCAACATTGCAACGTTGAATTGATAGAGAAAAGCATTTCCACATTCAAGGTGCTTATTGATGAATGAAACTAAGTTTTGTGAAATCCTCTGATAATGAATTATGTTCCTAGTGTACTTCACTGCATATGGCTCCCTCCCCCACGATGGTCATATATATATTTTTTTCTTTCCAAGATCTAGATTATGTACTACACTTGGGTAACTATAATGGAGATTTTTTCCCCCCACATGTTTATCTTTTAGTTTCTGATGCAATTCAATTATTTATTTTTTCTTGTAAATTTCAAGTCTCTCTCTTCTTCCCCTTATTAATATGCTAATGTCTTGTAATAATGCATTTTATGACATTAATGAAGTGAAGCAAGACAATAAATAAAAAGAAAGCACAAATTCTTGCTTTAACTTTACCGGGTTCCGGGGCGGGGGTTGGGGTGGGGGAGGAGGAAAGGGGGAGGAAGGACATTTGGCCCCGCAAAAAATAAAAATGATCCCCTTGTTTTCTGCGCGTTCTAGAACAGAGCTGCACGTCAGAGGAAGAACCGAGCTGCCTTCGAGCTACAAGGCTTGGCATTAAACTTTGACACTTTAATGGTCTCTAGGATATTAGATGATATTTTATCATATAACGTTCTTCTCCGACACGGTAATGGCATCAAAAACATACGATCTCTGATGCCTGCAACGTGCACGGTGAGCTCCATCCCCGCAGAGATAAGACAGCAGGACCCCAGCTTCGCAGTTAACTTATCTCGAAGCTCCAAAGCAAAGGCTTTTTACTTCTTCGCCAGGGACGCTGCTGGGGAAACCGCTACCTTCTTTTCGACTGCTCCTCGGCTGGGTCTGGCCGGGTCTGCCGCGGAGACGAGGTAAACAGCGCTCGCGAGCCGGGGAAGCGCCGGCGCCGGCGGTGGTGGGGGTCGTGGTTTAATGAGGCTGGAGAGAGGCGGGGATGGGGGAAGGGTCCCGGCTGGGTCGAGCTAAGGGCTCGTGTGTTTACCCAGGCGGGAGCCGGGTCTGAGCCGAGCGGTGGCCGGACCTCGGAGGACCTCGGCCCCCAGCCCGACCTCAGGGAGAGTGGTCAGCGCGGCAGCGCGGGCTCGGCGGCCTTTTCTCGCGCGCCCCTCTCCGCCCCGTTCTTCTCCTGCTCCTTCCAAGAACTCGGGTGGGCTTCCCGCTGCCTAGATCGAGGTGTGGAGCGAAGAGACAAGCGCCCAGGTCGGAGGCAGAGACCCGCGGCCCGCGGGGCTCAGGAAAGGTGGGGAACCGGGGGGAAGGGGACCCCAGAAGCCCTGGGACCGAGCTGAGGAAAAAACCGGGAGCTGGATCGCGCGCCCGGAGGAGCTCCGTCTCTGAGTCCGAGTTGTCCACCCCTGTGGCGTCCTCTGTCTCTCCCTGCCTCGGCTTTCGACTCCTTCGGATTTCTGGATAGGGAGTCCCCCTCCTTCCATCCACTCTCACACCGTCTCCCCTTCACCCCAACCAATTCCACCCACCCCTTCCGTGGCTCCCTGAGACTCGGCACTCCATCCTCGTCCTTAGGACTCGGAGGCTAGAGTTCCATTCAGTGGGATGTTGCGTTCTTGTATCAGGAGGGAAAGATCAAGAATAAAATCAGAACGGGGAGGGCAGTGAGTGTGTGTCTCCGTGTGTGTGTGTGTGTGTGTGTCGGGGGAGCACAGATGTGCAGTTTTCCCTAAAGAATAGGGAGCCTCGGGCAGGATTCTTGGGTACAGGGCCCAAAAGGATGCTGTCAAAGCCCTTCAGCAGGGTCCCTCGCAGCGTCTCTCAGACTGCCCCATACCCTGCCCACCTCCGAGAGAACGCGGCCCCGGTAGAAGGTGGAGGGGGGAACTTCCTACTTTCCACGACGGCTGTTTCGTAAACCGGGGTGGGCAGGCTGCACGGCCCGGCCAGCCTGTGAGCGTCTCTAGAGCGGCAGCTGCGGACCCGCTGCGCTTCCCTTCCCCCTCTTTCCGTGAGGCACGCCAAGCCCGAGGCGGCCGGGAGCGGCCCGGGTGGGGGGAGAAGGGCGGGGAGCTCCCGGCCAGCACCCTTTCATCGCGATCCGGCCCGGGATCCCAGCTCCGGGTGTTGCTTCCGCCTGCTGGCCAGCCAGCAGAAGAAGTGGGAGGGAGGAGCCTCATCGGGGGCGGAGCCTAGGTGAGGGCGGGCTCTGGGTCCCTAGGCAGCGGCGCTGTCCATTGGTCGGCCGCGAGGTCACGGGGTTGGGGGCGGGCACCGAGGCGGGCTCCGGCCCCGCCCCCACTCGGAACCCGGCCGGGCTCGCGGTCCCCCCCAGCTGCACAGACATGACACAGACACACAGTCACTGCAGCTGCTGAGCGAGCCCGGCGCTCAGGGCACGCGGCGGCGGCGGGGCCAGCCCGGAGCCCGGACCCCAGAGCCAGCCAGCGCGCCCCCCCGCCGGCCCCCGCGCGGTGACCCCAGCCTGCCGGGCGCAGGAGGGAGGCGGGGATCGCGGATCGCGGATCGCGCGCCGGCTCCGGCCAGCGGCGCCCGGCTGCCGCCGGCGGCTGCAGCGGCCGCTCAGCTCCGAGTGCCGGGCGCTCCGGGAAGCCGGCGTTCCTCGGAGGCAGCCGCGGCCGAGGCCGGCGAGCGCTCCTGGCGGCGGGGCCGCCCTCCCCGGCTCCCCGCACCCACCGAGCCGCGCTCCGCTCGCCGCGCCTCCGCTCCTGTGACCTTCCCGGAGCGCCACCCCCGGCCCCGCGCCCCCGGCCCCGCGCCCCAGGCCGGGGCGAGGCCCTCTCCAGCGCCTTCTCGTGAAGCCGCGGGCGGGCGGCGCAGGCCCGGGGGGAGGAGGCGCCGCGGTCGGCTGCAGCCCCCCCCCCCCAACCCCCGCCGCCGCGCTCGGCGCCCGGCCCGGCCCGGCTGCCTCTGCCCCGCCGCTGCGCTGGAGCCGGGGCGGCCGAAGCTGGGGGTGCGGCTGCGCTCGCCTCACCCGGTCGGCTTCGGGCAGGCCCTGCCCTGAAGGGGTGAAGCGGGGCGAGCGAGAGGTGGAGCCCGCCCCGGCAGCGGACCCAGGCCCCAGCTCATGCGGGGCGCCCCTGGCTTGGAAGAGTCCTCCGGGCAGAAAGCAGCTCCAGGCAGCGGCCCGGGAGGAAGAGGAAGGGACAGTGCTCAGCCTGGGCAATCCGGACCTTTCCTGTCGCGTTTGGAGCCCAGGGCTGTCCCGAAGTCTGCTCTTGGCGCCGCTGCTGGGACTCGGGCAGCACCTGCCTGGACCCGGACTTGGACTCCCTGCTCCTCGTAGGCGGCAGCATCTCCACGCCACCCAGCTCTTCCGCGGTCTCCCTCTGCTTGGGGGCAGTCACGGCCAAGGTAAGAGCTCTGGGAGGCTAGTGAGCCGCCGCGGGGGCGCTCTGGTGAGCAACGCTGGACAAGTTCTCTGAACCTGTGGCTGGTACCCACTGTGCTTGGGATGCCAGCGGAGAGGAAGGCGGGCCGTCAAACCCTCTGTGGCTTGGGCTGGGAGCAATGGAGAGGCTGGAGGTGGAAGACCCTAGTCTCTGATGTCCTGGACTCCCTCAGGGCCTGCCAGGCTCCCAGGCAAACAGACTGCTGATGGGGAGCAAGCCAGGAAGTTTCCCTTTAACAGCGTGAGGTGATGTGGCCCTGTGGCCCCCTGCCTGGGCTTGTTGGTTGAGCACCTGTGCTTTGGGGAGCCTGTTGTGTTTGGACAGGTCCCACTTTGTGCTCCTCACCTATCTTTCCTGGTGTGATGCTATAAACTTTTGTTTGCTTCTTGTTGCAGAGAGGCCAATTTGGTGGTGAGCAGTCACAGCTTGCAAGTCCCTTTTTAGGATAGAGTGTGTTGTGTGGTTGGCAACAGCATCTGTAGGCGAAAACTCAAGGAGCTTTGACAGTTGTGCTAGACAAAGCTTCTTGTAAGGAGTGATCAATGTATACTGGCCCAGGCATTCTTGGAAATGTCACTGCTTGAAGGTTGGAGTGAGGATTCCAAAGTTTGTGCATCCTTCAGTTATTTTGTTCATTGCATTATTGTCTTCTTTTAAATGTTCCTTTTAAAGGACTTGGTTTTACAAGCCTGTCCTTGCCTGTTTCAAATTTATTAAACCTATGCGCTTCCCAAGGAACCATCAGATTTTAAATGGGTCACTTCGGAAGGAACAGATTGTCTCTCACACACTCAATTCATCCCCCGGGTGACCCTGTTTAATGGGGATGGATTTTTTCCTGTCCCTGTGCTGATGTACTTCGGTTGAGCAGGTTTCTGCTGAATTCCGAATCCGTGAATTTTGTCACTCAGTCCATTAAAATGATCTCCTGAGGGAGCAAAATAGCGGCTTACATTTTCTGTGAATGTCACAGGAAGTTTTACAGGGTCTTACATAAGTGCCCCAAGAGAGAGAACCCGGGCTCCTGCTTCCTTCAAGGGGATTCATGGTGGGGGCAGGTGGGGGCATCCTTCTGCATCACCTAAATGCAGATCCTCCTCTCTCTGATACAGGTGGAGACCCAAAGTGCTTATTCACTCGTGGAGGAAGTCACCCCAGGCTAATTTTCCTCCTCACCTCTCCTGTCTTCCCACCTCAGGATCAGCTTTGATAGACTGAAGATAAGGGCAGGTTCTAAATTAGGAAAAGAACAGTGGTGGTTTCTTTTTCGTCTCTCACAAATGGGTGACATGAATGAATTACTCTCTGGCATGCCTGGGCCTCGCTGGGTGTGGGGGGGAGCTAAAGAAACCTGCTTTAGGTTTTCACACATCTCTTAAGTACCTCTAGTTTTCAAGAGTGCTCTACTTTAGTGAAAATTGCTTGAGGAGAACACGTATTTATCAAGCCTGGCCCTGTTAATTCCATTCCAGGAAGGAAGCAAACCATTTAGATCTTTGTGGCAACAAATCCCCCTAGTAGAATAGAGAGGTTTCTAAGGATCCTACGGATCTAGGGTGAGCAGTAGCTGCCAGTGAGTGTAGGTCCTCTTTGCTGAAAGAATGGGCTCCTTTTTGGACAAGGTTTTGATGCAAGCAAATGCAGATTCCTTTCACTTTCAACTACAACTGGAAGGGTCTTAGAAATGAAATGAAGGGTTTTTTTGTTTTGTTTTGTTTTTTAATATCATCGTTTTGGAAGTGTTTCTGTCTCTTGGGAAGGTTGTCAAGGGTTCCCTTGGTTTTCGATTCCTGAAGTTGATATGGAAGGCAGGAGGGCGGGTCCTGTAGTGTCTCCATCCTTCAGCCACCTACAGGACACTAGAGGGGACTAGTTTTCTATTCCACGGCCAATGAAGAAAGCACAAGGCCTGATGTTACAAAGCACTGTAGCTTATCTTTTAGAGCTCATGAACCCGACTTTTCTGTACCCAACAGGCGGTTGCACTAATGAATGGATTCCGAATGCTTCAACAATAGGCCTCTCACATCTAAAGTGTCATTTATACAACTTAGAACTAGTTAACTGCAAAGTGTTTTGTGAAATTCTGAAAGACTCATTTATTGCTTCTAAGTATATAAGGGCTATGCGTTTTGGGAAGATGGATGCTCCTGCAAACTCTACCCTTTGGACATTTAACCATGCCAATTTTAAATTTCCTATTTGTAATCAGAAGTTCCCCTTACAGGTTTTTGACCGCATACCCCACACAGTCTTCATAAAATCACACTATTTCAAAACATCCCTAAAATTAACTCTATCACACTTAAAACTTTCTTGTTGTCCTGTTTTTATAAGTACGCATCTTATGCAGGTGTTAACATTTGATGGTGCGGTTGCACTTTTCTCTGAGATGTGTTCTGTACTTTTAACAGTATTAAATCATTAGTGTCTGATTCTTACAGCAGAATTAGAAGATAATTGGTTCCCTGAAGAACAAAGCCCTCTTGCCCCCGCCTACCCACAATAACTGCGTTTTATCAAAGCTGACCCCAGAGGTGGGAAGACATGAAAGGTAAGAGGTAGAATCTAGAAATAACTGCTCATTTCAGAATACTGACATAAAAAAGGCAAATGCCATCAAGACTTCAGTCTTACAGCATTCTAAAAGGTCCAACTCAACATGTATAAGTAGACTGTGTGGGGCCTGCAAACCTGCATGAGTTATTTCATTTCCTTGAACTCTGAAATCTGTTAGACTGTGTTTGTGACCCTTTGCTCATCTGTATAGCACATAGGTAGTTTAAGGGGAGCTATTATTGTGGTGTAGGAAAAATGGTCAGCATAAAGCTTTATTTCTACTATTAGGCTTTGTAGGTTGATTCTCGTAGGTGCAGTATAGCCAAGGGGTAAGAGATTGGAATGGGAAAATACCAATGCATTTGCCATTGAGCCCTGACTAGTGAAGATTGATCCTGGAGGCATATTTACTGTGGTCTAAGGCATGACTGAAGTCTTGTGAATTTGAGACAGGAGAGGCTGCAGAGGTACAGAAATGGCGAGACAACATGCTGGCTTTTCTTGGGGTCCATGATCAAGGTGAAGGTATCTTTGTGGCCAGAGATTCTCTGAGAAGAGGGAGCAATACAGGCGTTTGGGACTGAAAGCTCAAGGCACCTGCCGTTGATGCACCTTGGGGATATAGCTACCTCACAGAATCTGCTAGTGTTGATGAGGTCTCCCTGCTCCACTCTGGAGTATTTGACATTGAGAGGTACTCAGCATCTCTTTGTGACATTGACATTTGATGAGTGAGTGATAGGCAGAAGCCATTTGTTACATATATTTTAGAAGACATTTCTCCTTTTAATTTAACATTAAGTGAACATTTACACTGTGGCAGGTGCCATGTGCTATACTGTGGTCATAGAGGTTCTGCATTTAGCTTCTAGTCTTTTAGGGGAGGCAGACAGTTAGCTATTGCTGTAAGCTAAGTACTAGCATGCAGGTTTGTTCAAAGGATGACTTTGAGCTTGCAGGGATAGTTGGAAGGAAGTGAGTCCCAGGTAGACAGGCAGCATAAGCACTTCAATGTGTCTGGTGTATATGGAGAGTACTCAGTAGTTAGTGTGACTAAAAGGTGAAATGTTCCAGAAAAGGCAAGCTTGGTGCTAGAAGGGCAATACTTTGATAGAATTCTCTGCTAAGCACTGTGTTACAGCTTCATGCTCTATGGATTCAAATGGTGGCAAAAATGGTTGCTGGATAAGATCCCAGAATACTAGTTGATTATCCCACATTGTTATTAAATACAGAAAAAAGATTTTTCTATTTCTTTCCTTTTGGGGGGGATCCATTGTCCTTCTACATATAGCATTTTGCCTGTTCTTTCAAAAACTATTAGCAATGCAGACAAGGGGTCCCCATCAACCCTAAGTCTGCCCTCTTGTGTACATGAATTACATGTGGGATTTTCATTATGTGATTAAGCAGCAGTGGGAAAAATGACAATGTAACTTGACAAATGATATAGTATGAAAAGAACAAATTCCATTTTGTCAAATTTGTTTCTGGATGGAGTTGTGGTTGCATTTAACACTTGAACAGATTCTTGTGTTATAATCATTTCATTTCTGGCCTAAAGTTTCTTTGCTGTTGGAAAGGAAGAGATTTATAATATTGAGAATAGAAGTGTGTATGTGTGCGTGTTTTGTGGGATGGGGAACTATAGTCATCCATCCCTTAGCCTTAGCATCTGTAGGGTTTGCTTCTAGGATGCCTCTGCAGATGCTAAGATCCACATATGACCAGGTTGCTTTTTTAATGTCATAGTATTTGCATCTAATCTTTGCAGTTCTCCCATATACTTTAAATCATCTCTAGATTTCTTAAAATACCTAATACAATGTAAATGCTATGTAAATAGTTGTTATAATGTGTTGTTTAGGCAACAATGACAAGAAAAAAAAAAGTCAACATGTTCTGTATAGATAAAGTTCTTTTCCTGAATGATTTTCCATCTGAGGTAGTTGGATCCTGACATGCAGAACCCCAGAACCCAGTAATCTAGAGGGCTGACCATATATGGTGAGGAATATAGGCAATGCTGTAATTTCCTGGAGTATATTAGAGGTAATGGAAAATCGTAGTTACAGTGGTGGTCTCCAGGATCAAGTATATTTTCAGAAACAGGAGCCAGAAGGACAGAGGTGGTAAAAGTTGAAAGTGCTCTTGCTCTCATGCTTGCCTTTGCCCCTTTGTAGAGTAGAAGACAGGGTGGTTTAAGTAAAATCAGGAGATCTGGGGACTGGTCTTGCTTCATCCTATGCTAACTTGCTCTGTGGCCTTAGAATGCTTCTTGACATCTCTGGATTTTTCAGGCACTGTCTCAATAAGTAAAGCATTATTTATCTACTAACTAGGAATTTAGACGCCAAGTGAGGGAAAGGGCTCACCTGAGCCAGTTAGTGACCAAGCTCAGAC